TCCCCTCTTGGTGTTCCTTTTTCAAAAATTGAGATATAATTAATATATTGTGAAACTCATCCTTTGAAAGCGGGTGGAGTTCTCTCAGCTTCAGTACACTCACAGGGTTGTACAGTCATTATGGCAGTCTCGTTCTAGAACATTTGAACCACTCATTAGCTGTGTGGTCCCTTTGCCCTCCTCCTTCAATATCTTAGCAGCTTATCTACATCTTGGCTTTGGGTTTGCCAGTTCTTGACTTCTCATGGAAAGGGAGTCATCTAGTGCAGTGGTTCTCAACCTTCCTAACACTGCGTCTTTTTAATACAGTTCAACATGTTGTGGAGACCCCCAACCATACATTTTGTTACTGTTACGAATTGTAATGTAAATATCTGTGTTTTCTGATATTCTTAGGTGACCCCTGTGAAAGGGCTGTTTGGCCCAAAGGGGTTGTGACCCATAGGCTGAGAACCACTGATCTAGTATGTGTCCCCTCTTTGACTGGCTGTTTTCACTTAGCATTGTGTTTTCAGGGTTGATCCATATCACAGTATATATCCATGCATCATTCCTGTTTATGGTGAAACAGTATTCCATTTTTTTTTTCTGAAACAGGATTTCTCTGTGTAGTCCTGGCTGTCCTGGAACGCACTTTGTAGACCAGGCTGGTCTCAAACTCCCCGAGATCTGCCTGCCTCTGCCTCCTGAGTGCTGGGATTAAAGGTGTGCACCAGCAACGCCCGGCAACAATATTGCATTTGGTCCATCACTCATTGACTGGGACATTTGGGTCATTTCTTCTTTTTGCTTCTGTAACACATGTTTTACATCCTTTTTGTTTCATTTTCTCGAGAAGCTAGTCAAAGCATACAGCTGTCTACATTCCTCTAGCTTGGCTAATTTGGAAAGCAGGTATAAGTGCCTATGGGGTGGCTGGGGAGCTGGGGTGGTGAGAGATGAAGGTTTGTGAGAACTTTGCCAGGGGGAGGCCTTGCACCTGGCCCCAGGGCCATCTGTTACTAGGTGGGTATTTTCTTGCTGTTGATTATTAACCAGTGGGTGGTTATGATCCTGAGAGCGAATCTCCAGGGGCAAAGACTGTTGCTTTATTTGAGATGATAGAAATGTTTTTCAACACATTTAAACAGCCAGGATCCTTGCTTCTCTTTCTCTTCTTGGAGGCTAGATCCCAATTTTGTCTTATTTGATTGGTTGATACCTTTGGATTTCTATTAAATACACTCCAGTGCACACACCTCTTTGTGTGTACGTGTGCAGTGGTGTACCCACATGCCACTGTGTGCGGCTGGAACTCAGAGGACAACTTGTGGGAGTCAGTTCTTTCCTTCTACCATGTGGGGCTTGGAGCTTGAACCCAGGTCATCAGACTTTTGTGGCTTTGCCCACTGAGCCATCTTGCTGGTCCCAGGTCACCATTTTATGAATCATATTGTCACTACCCTAGTCTAAATTTGTACAGAACTTCATATTTTTATTCCACAGCATTGCTTTTACTTCCTCAGAACGTCACTACTTCCGTGTTTGCAGTTGAAGGCACTGAGACAGAGAGGTGAGGTCATGTGACGGAGTAGCAGGAAGAATCAAAGTTGAATCCAGGAGTCCCTTGATTCTAACTATAGGACTCTGCATAGCAGTGTGCAAAAGACCAACTGCTTTTGCAAGAGGCCCAGGTCACAGCCTTTTGAGGTAGCGACATGGACCCTGGATGCTGAAGTGCCATCTTAGGGACTTCCCAAGGGCCTCCCCA